ATATAGGGATGGCCGGTTCGCTCACTGGCTGAGCGTGGTGCTGACAACACCAAGTCGAGGATTGAGATCCCCTTACCGGTCATCTTTTTTAAAAAAAAAAAAAGAACATGAAAAGAAAAAGAGCTAAGTCTCAATTTTCCACTGTCAGCAAGGAATGAATATTAGATCTTTCCACATGACCAAAGCTGCTTCTAAAAACTAAAACTTTTTCTTACCCTTTTTTGATGGAAAACTTTATGAAATGTGTCTTGTACATAATTAATTGACACGTATTATATACTAGGCACTTGCTAATAGTGATGATAATTAGAATAATCACATTCAAGTGGTAATGATAATGGTAACTATCTTCTTTAAGCACTTCTCCATATAGTGATGCCCTTGAAGGGTGGAGCTGTTTGCTCTAAGCGAGGTGGCCCCAAAATACCTGGCTTTGAGGTTTCTTGTATATTTTTCTGTAAATTTCTTGTGTATTTTTCTCTTTCAATTCCTACTGCTGTCGTTGGCTAATTTTGACAGTATCCATTTCTCTTCCCTTCCTATTTACTGTTTTAAATCAGCTATAGGCAAGGAAACCAGTTAATCAAGATTGTTAGAATTGTGGCAACATATACAGAGAGAGAAAATTGGCTCTGTGTGAAGCCCAGAACAGCTTGGTGCTTGAACTTTTGTGTATGGATATTCTTATCTCTAATTTGGCTGCTCAAAAGCCTTTTATAGTAATTCCAGGTTTTTCAGAGACTTTGCACATGGTTGTCAGAGGAGTTACCTCAAGTCTCATTAATTCCGTAAATATTTACTGAGTACCTAGTATGCGTCAGGCACTGTATTAGGTACAGGAGAGTCAGCAGTTAGCCAGACAAGATCTCTACCTTCATGGAACTTGTATTCTTAGTTGAGGAGACAGACAATAAACAAGTAAACAGGGGGGCTATCCATTTGGGTCAGTTAATTAGAGTCTGGTGTTGATAACACCAACATTAAGGTGTTCAGATCCCCTTACTGGCCAGCTGCCCAAAAAAAACAAACAAAAAAGCCTAAGTAAACAAACATATAATATCCAAGGCAATGAAGTATTCATCATGTGCTAGAAAGTCATGAAGTGTGTAAGGATACTGAGATTATAAAGTTTGGGTCTTGGAAGAACAGGAAAAGAGGCCAGTGTTCCTAAGGAAAAGGACATGAGATGAGGCTGGAATAGGAGTCAGGCTTCTAATCACATAGGCCATTATAGGCCATGGTGACAAAACTGAAGGACTTTAATCAGGGGAATGACAAGATCTGATTTGCATTTTATAAAAATCACTCAGGATTTTCAGGGGGCTGGAGTCAAAGTGAAAAGACCAGACTCCTGCATACCCTGTATTGTGGCCAAACTGAACTCCTCACAGCTCCTTGTTCCTATATCATTCAGTTACATACTTCCATGTCTATGCTCTTGCCCCATCACCCAAATTCTCATTGTCAAAATCTGGGTTGGTCTGTCTCTAGGCCCATCCCATTGTGTCCCTGTTCTCTTCAGGAAGCCAGGGCAGAGAGTAGGGAGCTAAGTTCTGGTCCTAGAGTAGCTTACTGGGATGAAGGCAGCTGGTAGATGGTAAGGGAAGCACCCTGCTCATCATGTCCCCAGTACAATTCTTCAGGTAGGGAGACTCTGGGGGCATTTCAGAACATCCTGTTTCCAGCAGGAAGCACTCTTTGTGTCTCAGGGCAGCCCCCAGAAATGCAATCCCCATGCTACTGACCTGGGCATGCTGGTTGTGGCTTAAGAGAGGACTTTTTTTTTTTTTAAACTAATAAATGTTTGGGCCAGCCCCGTGGCGCACTCGGGAGAGTGCGGTGCTGGGAGCGCAGTGATGCTCCCGCCACGGGTTCGGATCCTATATAGGAATGGCCATTGCGCTCGCTGGTTGAGCACGGTGCGGGCGACACCTCACCAAGGGTTGCGATCCCCTTACCGGTCACGGAAAAAAAAAAAGAAAAAGAAAATTAATAAATGTTTTGAAGCCCAGGATCTGCAGCCTCTCTCCAGGACCCAGTGAGGTGGTAGAGGACTTGAGGATTTAAGTACTGAAGGTACGTTGAGCACGGTGTGGGCGACACCTCACCAAGGGTTGCGATCCCCTTACCGGTCACGGGAAAAAAAAAAAAGAAAATTAATAAATGTTTTGAAGCCCAGGATCTGTAGCCTCTCTCCAGGACCCAGTGAGGTGGTAGAGGACTTGAGGATTTAAGTACTGAAGGTACGATTACATCTTGTTCCTTGATTCTACCAAGGAAAGAACAAGAGCAGAGAGGCTTAATGTCCAGGAGGAATTTCGATTAATAGGTTAGAGCTACATTTCTGAAAGTGAGCTTCTTGGAGCCCTTGTAAGGTCTGTACAAAAAATCTCTAAGGAAACAATTAATGCCCTCACTCACCCTTGATTGGTCATTACACAGAGTAGGCATACGGTCAGGGAGAGAGAACTTGATCTTTAAGACTTTTGTTAGATTGGATTTTCCAGGGAAGAGTACGTGAGAAGGACTTAGAACAGCTCTGAGATTGGGAGAGTAGATCAGACCATTTAGAGGATGGACAGACATACATCCAGTTGCAGGTCACCGGCTTCTTTACTCCACTGCTAGAAAGTACAGCTTATCCAGAGGTGCAAGATATATTTCCCATAATCCTCTCAAGAAGCCACCTTAGTGGAGAAACCAAGGGAACTTCAACCACATGTGTGACTTACGTCAAGTCCCTTCCTGTCTCAGCCTCAGTGTCCTTGTCTGTAAAATGAAGAGGCTGGAGCACATGGTCTTTAGCAACTTTCTCAACTCTGTCATCCTAACAATGAACCACTGATTCCTGGCAAATATGGGCCAGGCTCTGCCTTGGCTATAGCCTCCATTGACGGCACTCAGTTTAGGACCATCTTTTGGAAAAAGCCTGAGCCTCACGGAGTGTCTTTAATCAGCTCTGCATTTTCTCTTTCTTTGGCTGTGTGGCCCCCATCCTTTCGGTCCTGCCAGAATTTAGCCTACTTAACTCTGGCCACAAGTGGTGGTGATAGAAGAATAGCTAACACTTAATAAATGTCCAGCCTAGTGCCTGGCTATTATCTCATTCTTCCTCAAACAACCCAGTGAGGTAGATACTATTATCCCTATTTCAGAGATTAAGAAATAGCCTTAGAGAGGTGAAGGAGTCCTTTAGACAGGAATTTCTGAAACCTTAGTGCTCCAGGCAGATTCGCTGTGGCCTGAGCGAGCTCTTCAATTACATGCGTCTTTGCCCATTATTCCCACTGCCAGAATATTCTTCTCTCTCCATAAACCCACCTCTGTCTGAATCCTCCCCATTGGTTAAAGGCCAGATTAAATTCTGCCTGTCCGTGAGGTTTCACTCCTTGACCTTCATCAACAATTGCTTTCTCCTCTGAGCCTGCATGGTTCTTCCTCTTGCCTCCCTGCTGACCCCTAACCACACTCTACCTTGCATATGGTCATTAAGACACATGTCTGTATCTTAATCAGTCTGTAAACACCTGGATTGCTGGGACTATGTCCTGTGCATCTCCATACCCCCATCAAAGTCCTGTACATAGGACCCAGGGTTCCTCCTGACCAAGGCTATGAAGAAGCCCTTCCAGCAAGATGGAGAGCCTCAGCAGCAACTGCTCAAGCCTGTAGTCTTCATAGCTCCACATATGACTCATCATAATAGCAGAAGAGAAGTACCCTTGAATGTCTGGGATCATTCAAGAGCCTAGAGGGAGGATATTCCAGAATTCTCATTTGTCATTTTTATACATGCAGTAAATCTTTATTGCTGAGAGACCTTAGCAAATCACTTCCTTACTCAGAACCTCTATGTCTGTCTCCAACAGATAGAAGTACCTCCCTCACAGCTCCATTGTGAGGGTCAATTGAGACAACAGATGAAGTGCTTGTGCATACCCATAGGTATACTATAGGAAAACATAGTTTCTCACACATGGAATAGGTTTAGCAGGAAGAGCTCTGGTGCAAAGGCTCTGCAAGCCAGTTAGACTGGCAAGAACAGAGGGCATCATCAAGGCACAGCAAGGCCTTGGTTCTGCTCCAAAGGAATTTTCCCCTCTCATGTGCCAGGAACATCCTCCCTGACCTCCTGCGATTACGTGGTCAGTCAATTGAGTGTTTCACATGTACAGGCTGCCTCAAGTCCTACAGAGGAAAAAGCAAGTCTCTGTCTTCTAGGAGTTTATAGTTTGCCTGGAGACGTACACAAGGTATGAGAAGTGCTGCCAGGGAGTATGCTCCCCACCTGGTGTCAGAGCTGGTTCCAGGAGGCCTGGGGACTCAATGGAGCCTTCAAGTGCTTATTTTCTAACAGAAAAACTGGACTGTGGACACTAACACCTATTCTTCTAAGCAGAATGCAATAAGTGGCTTAAGAGAGTTGAAACTGCTCAGAATGTTCGTAGGAGTGTCATTTGCTAGAAGAGGCAGGGTGGTTTCCATACAGGAGGCAAGTCTGGAGCTGAACCCTGAAAAAATAGCTGAGGGAGTTGGGAGATTGGCACACTCAGAGTAACCTAGGAGACCAAAGTAAGTGACCTGATGGACGTGCCCCATACAGGAATAGAATCTTCCTTGCAGTAGAGAATAAACAATAATAACTTGCAAAATTGCTGTTTCTGTCGGAAAGCCTGCTAATATGCTAGAGAGGATTTTGCATATATTATCTCTAATCCTTAAAACCACTCTTCAAGGTAGACACAACCCCCACTTTACAGATGAAGAAATGAGGTTAGGAGAGGATTTGCCCAAAGCCACAAAGCTAGTTGGTGGGAGAATCAGAAATCAGACCCACACTGGTCTGATTCCCTTCCAAGTGCAAACCTGGGAAGAATTCTAAGAAATACAGATGCTTCCATACAAAACAAACCAAGATGGACCTAGAACTGCTAGTGCCCTGCCTGTACAACATGGGCACCACCTTCCAAATCTGGTACAGATTATCCACTGTTCCACTTTACTTGGCCTGCCCTGTGGCCCATCCTATCTTCTCCATCCCAGTTTCACCCACACCTAAAAGTGATCTCCCCACCCCAATCCCCATTTTTCTCTAACAGAAGGCCCAAGACATGTATGCAGAGGAGCGGAAGAGGCAGCAGCTGGAGAGGGACCAGGCTGCAGTGACAGAGCAGCTGATGCAAGAGGGGCTCCAGGCCAGTGGGGATGCCCATCTCCGACGGACACGCTTGCACAAACTCTCAGCCAGACGTGAAGAGCGAGTCCAAGGCTTCCTGCAGGCCTTGGAACTCAAACGGGCTGAATGGCTGGCACATCTGGGCACTGCATCAGCCTGAGGCTGGCCACCTGCCACTTTGCCCTGCCCTCTGCCTCCAGGGCCCCACTCCCTATTCTTTTCTTGGTGAAAGGTACCTCTCTCCTGATGATGAATTATATTCCCTTTGCTTGGCAGGGAAGCCTGAGGCCAGATCTGCTGACCATAGGTACTTTTGGGCTGCCTGGGACAGTGGCCCCTGGGGAGGATTGAGGATGAGAATCCCCTGCAAGTACACTAAACCCAGCTCTGGCCACCAATAGGTTTGGAGAGCAGAGGGCCCCAACTCATTGGCTGCTTGTGCTCCTAGATGCGCTTTTTTCCACCAGCGCATCCTTCAACACAGAATTTGGGGGATGAGGTCTCCCCCAAACCCTAGCCCTTTACCCATCTATCTTAGCTTTCCACCGACTTTCACAAAAGATTTGGCTCTACCTTGGATCTGCTGGTAAATAGCTAATAGGCATCCAGCATTATTTGGGCAAGGAAGAAAGGGGTGGGAGAGACAGAAAGAAAATTTGCCCATCTGCTGCTCCTCCCCCTTGGCTCTCCACCTGGGATTTGCTATTGAATCTCTCCCCCTCCCACCACGCAGTACTGATTGCTCACTGAAAGGCTCAGCGCCCCCAATGGCGCACGGAAGCCAGGCGGGTGATTACAATCCAATTACCTATTGTCGACTCAGCCTACACAAGCTTTTCTCTTCCTCTTGCAGGGCATGGGGCCAGGCTCCACTCCCTAGTAAGATGCCCCTCTCCATGGCTACAGGTTAACAGAAGGGCCTGTGGACCCTGGTGAAAATAATCTAGCACAGGCTTCCTTCCCTATAACACATCAGGAAGGAGCAGAACCAAGCACTTCTCCCAACTGGCTGTGCTTCCAGCTTCTTCATCTCAAACTCCGATTCCCACTTCTACAAGGTTTCTCTTAGCTTTTTGACCTGGCTCCCTAAGTAGGCCCCAAGACTATTTATTCTCAGCATGGCAAAGCTTGTTCCAGGCATTCTCTGCTTGTGAGGGCCAAGGCTGCCCAGCAGGAAGAAGAGGGCAGAGTCAAGACTGTGTCCTTTCCCTTACTTCCCCCTGCCAGGTCTCACTGCAGAACTGCTGAGAGGATTAGTACCTTTGAAGAGCTGTCTGTCTGAGCAACTCTGCTTCAGGCGCCCCAGAGCAGCAAGTACCAGTCAGTAATACCAATGAAATGCTACTATTTAGACTTCTCATTCTACTTTCTTTTTTTTTTTTTTTTTTCCTTTTTGTCTTTTTTCGTGACCGGCAACGGATCGCAACCCTCAGTGTCGCGCCCGTACCGGACCGGGACCAGCAACGGGATCGCAACCCTCGGTGTTGCACCCGCACCTCGCTCAGCCAGTGAGCGGCCGGTCTGTATGTGGAATCTGAACCCTTGGCGGGAGCTCTCCAGTGCACCACCGGGCTGGCCCTTCTCATTCTACTTTCTGCAAGCTGTTTCCCCAGCACCTCCCTCTAGGGGAGAGGTGGAAACCTGCAAGCAGTGTTAAGAGCATACTCTTTAGACCTTAACTTTCCTATACCCCAGTCCCCTCCTCCCCTTTCTGTGCCCAGATACCTGGCGCTAGAGACCCCTGGCCATCCGACTCCCAGAATCAAGCATAAATGCCAGACACTGTGATTGGGAAGCCAATGAATGCATTCATTTGGCAAGCCCCCCTACACACCTGGCACTCCCCACTACCAATCCCTGGCACAGGGTTCCTGGAGAGCAGGTGCTGTACATTTTCCAGCTTTACAATGGGGCTGTTGACAGCCTTAATTAGGGAGGCATGAATTATGTGGCTATAATGCAGAGCCCTACAATTAAGGCAGGAATGAGGGGCTGGAGGCAGCAAACGGAATCTGCCCTGTGAGCATGGCTGTTGAATCCTGTCTCCCTTCTGTGTCTGATTTTCCCTAATATAATTGGGGTACAGTAGAGGTGATTAATGTGGCTGGTATCTCTTTGGCCTGAGGTCTTGTATTCTGGGAACCGTGCACAGGGTGGAGTAAAGAGGAGCTGCCCCAGAAGTTACTGTGTGGGTGGAAAGGAGAAGAGACAGAGGGGCCACTGGTGTCCTGGAGCAATCGCTACAAGATAGATGATTTGGACTCATTGTGATTGTACAAATCATACCGGTAGAAAGCAAACCAGCTTCAACCCTTGCCTCAAGAAACCAGGTGGGACCTATTTAAGTGTCCTCCCATCTGTGAGCCAAGCCCCCATCTTGAGGATATTTATTCTGTTCTTGTGTTCTCCTGGGTCTCAAATATAATTTTTTTTTATTCTTAAATGTAAAACTTGTTTGCTACCTGCAACGGAAGAACACCTTGTTTGGCTACTGCAATTACCTATCCTCCCTCAGGTGCGCTTGGCTAGCTCCAGGAACCCTGGCTTTGGGCTAGGGGGCACTGGAATAGCTCTTTTGCCATCACACCACCTGTTCCTCCACTTGTTTCCTAATCCCCGGGCGCTTTCCTCAACCCTCCTTTTCCTCGCGAGTGAAAGGAAGCCAGCTTGACAGTGTGGAAGGAGGGATTTCGCCAGCTGCGTCTGCAGCGCCCAGGCTTGGTGGCCTCGACGAGTGGGGGCAGCTGGGCTAAATGTCTCCGAGACGAATAGAGCACAGGGGGAGGGGCGTGCTGGTACGCCTTGGCGGCCGCTCTGTACCTTCTGTGGCGGGGTCCCGAGGTCCGGGAAGGGAATACAGGGACCTAAGGGAGCCACCCGACAGGCCTGGGGTGGGGGGGCGCTGAGCAACGAGTGCTGAAAGGACAGCTCCTACCTGCCCCAGAGCACCGGAAAGGCACCTCGGCGTGGCAAGTCTCCCCCTGGAGCTCCCACCCCGCCTCGAGTGGGCCGCCTTCCAGGTGAGGTGCTCGAAAAGCTTCCCCGGAGTGGAAGCTCGGAAGGATGCACGTCCGGCTGCGCCAAACTGGCTTAGCCGCTCTTTTCACTTCAGCGTCAGCCTTGGCCCTGGGAGCTGCTGCCTGTGCCCCAAGCTGCGTGCTTCCTCCCGCCTCCTGCAGAGCAGGGTGGTGCGGCCAGGCCTCGGAAACCCCTCTTCTGGGGCCCCCAGCAGGAGCAGGAAGGAAAGCAGCTGAGATGCGCCCTGAGTGTCGCACGGCTGGGAGAAGTGGGTAGCTCGGTTGCATAAGGTGGAAGGAACTTAGGAGTTTGCGAAAGCCGACTCTTGGCGGGAGCCGGAACCGAGCCCGCCCGCTCGGGCGCCCCTCCCCATTTATTGCCTCCGACGCGCGCCTCCNGCCGCCGCCGCCCACGAGTTCCCCGACTGCCCGCGTCCCCTCTCCCGCCCTCGACGGCTGCCATGGCAACGGCGCTAGACTCCGCCTCCGGAGGGGGTTTGTTTGCACCATCTGCAGCTGTTACTCCCGTTCGGCGCGGTGCAGCGGGTGCCGGCCGCCCTTCCTGGCCCCGCTCTGACTTAGCCTGCGCTTCGCGGGGCCAGCGGCCCGGGACTCCCGACTCTCCCTCCCTTGTACGCTTTGGCCTCAAACGAATGAGTGAACTCACAGCTTCCTAAGCCCTTCGATTATTTGCATAGGAGCTGACCGTGCTTGGAAACACGATTCGCACATTCCCGAGAAAAGTTGTGTGTATGACTCCCTTGAATTTTTTCTTTTCCTTAGGGACTCTGTTAAAGGATTTTAGGAAATCACTAAGAATTATCTCAGAAGCTGCAATTTCTTGTTTTTGTTTTATAGGCTGAAGGGGATGCTAAAGGAGATAAAGCAAAGGTGAAAGATGAAGTAAGTTTTACTCCTCTTTAGGGATTTTGTCAAAGCCTTGGACTAGTAAAGATCACAGGACTCCTTTGGTGGTAATTAACTATAACCCTAGTCCTGAATTTACCTAAATAAGCTCTCTTTGTTTCCTATCGTCTAGAACAAATTGGTACCAAAAGTTTTATTTTTCTTGAGTGTTTCGTCCGTTCTAATTTTCTCACCTTTCTTTAATAGCCACAGAGAAGATCTGCAAGATNCTAGTAAAGATCACAGGACTCCTTTGGTGGTAATTAACTATAACCCTAGTCCTGAATTTACTTAAATAAGCTCTCTTTGTTTCCTATCGTCTAGAACAAATTGGTACCAAAAGTTTTATTTTTCTTGAATGTTTCGTCCGTTCTAATTTTCTCACCTTTCTTTAATAGCCACAGAGAAGATCTGCAAGATTGTCTGCTGTAAGTGTGTATGCTTTTTAATTTTCATATTTATCCCTGAAACTAAGAAGCAGTGAAAAACAATCCCTTTTCTTCCGTTGAGTAATGGTTAGCGGCTGGTGTTGAGTGAGCTACTCTACTTTGGACTCTTGTTCATTTGGTGTTTGCTGGCTCCTAAAGCCTGGTGGCTGTAGTCAAAGTAGGATACTTGTTTGTTACTCGGGTGGGTTTCTGAAGAGTAGTAGAAAATTCTATACTGTTGGTACTGTGGTTTGGTTGTGGTTTTCTTTGGTCCATTGTACTAGTGTTCTCTTTTCCTTTCTTCTTGCCAAAAAAAAAGAAACCTGCTCCTCCAAAGCCAGAGCCCAAGCCTAAAAAGGCCCCTGCAAAGGTAAGCAGAACTGGGAGACAAAGGTACTGACACTGGAATAGGTCATTTGCACGGAGTCAGGACTGTACAGTACCTTAATTCAGCATAATGTGACTCCATCAGTGGATGTTATGAATTGTTTTGACAGCTTCCCTTATCCCTGATGTTCATAACATTGGTTCCTAATCAATAATTCTGTCATCAGTTTACAGAAAGCTCTGTACTTGATTATTAAACATCAGTGTGTATAAGCTGGTTTATTCTTCTGTTACTTACATATAGATGCAAGTTTTTGTATACTGAAACTCATAGCAATTGTAGATAATTTTGCCTAGTTTTTGATCAGTTCTTATCAATGGGTAGAAGGTCTTTGTGTGTGTGTGTTTTATTTTAAATGAACCTATGCTTTGCAAAACTTTGCAGACCATTCCCTGGTAATATGAAATGGGGAGAAACAGTTCTATTTTTTCCCCCCTTCCAGAAGGGAGAGAAGGTACCCAAAGGGAAAAAGGGAAAAGCTGATGCTGGCAAGGATGGGAA